TACATTCTTCTCTCTCATGACTGCCTGTTGCTGTAAAATTATGTTATTATCTGTTTTCCAATTTTTACTTCAGAAGTATATTTTAATATATGATTAATTGCCATAATAGTTGCAACCCCAATCATTTCAACTTTCAGCTCTTTGAACAAGTTGTCTAAGCATACATTTAGTCACTGAGTAGTTTGCTAGAATGGCTTAGATTAAAAGATTGAACACAGCTACATGTCGACAATAACATTCCGAATTTTCACATGATATTCTTTTTTGAATCTGTTGAACCCGATTCAGTTGTTGATCGACAATATTCACTTAAAGCCTGATTGATTTGTAAAGATAGATTATAGGATTGCAAGCATACAATAGATCTCATAACAATTGCTTTCCTCCCACTATTTGCAATGTGAACAGCCATGGAAGTTCTGCAATATCAAGATCCGGATCATGATAGTCTTCTGTGTGTTGTTGAACTTGATGTATGGTGCCACCATATATTTGATAAAGGTGACCTAGAGTCCTTACAGAGATCTAAGCTGTATATCCCTCCTGGAAGTTTTCTACACTTAATTGTCAGTCATGATTGACAGTTATGAAAATAGTGAGTTCTGCAATTTGCACATATGGTCCAGTAAATTGGTCTTTCTGCCACATCTCAAGTGTCAACCATCTTGCAAAATAAAATTGATAAATGTTTCCTCAAGTGGACTATGGCATTTGGCCACTATATTTCACAGTTTCTAAGCTGTTGCTGATGTTTTGTATGGTAGCTTCATTCAAACTTCAGGTTGGTTTGGTTTTTTTGAACTGGCTTGGGTTTTAGCAAAGTGCAATGGCACATAATTACTATCCACTTGATTAATTTCTCGTGCTTCTAATTTTAGATCATTCAACAATGACAAGCCTAATCTGAAATATCCAGTTCCATGGCTGCAGTGGCAACAGAATGTTCCAAAAGCTAACATAAGGAAAATATTTGGATTTTTTGAGTATGAGTGACAAAGAGTTGTTTAGTATTTAATCATCATTCTATCTGAAATTACTGGAAGGATGAAACGGTCTTACCACATAAACATTATGGTATATGCATTGGAATTTCCATCATATTGTTATAATTCACAGAAGAATTTGTTCTGAGAATAACAGTCAATCGCTTTAGTTAGGCACAGTTGGGCCAACTCACAGGATATAAGATGAGCTCTTATACTTAAATTCTGTGATATATTGGTGCCCATCTATGAGCATAAACCTTCAGAGACACATTACTAGGGATACTTTAAGATAAGCTCTGATACATAAATTTTATGATACATTGGTGCCCACCTATGAGTACCTGCAGACACAAGTTTCTATATGGTTTCTTTTTCATGCACTAAGAAAAAAGAAATGAAAGGATAATATAGTTATTATATAACTAGGATTAGAATATATGTATGAAAATAAGGTAACACTAGCTTGGAGTTGGGTTATATATTATGACCGAGTAACTTTAGACTTAATCAGGATAGCCTCTTGTTTGTGTTACAGTAATTTTATCTTTATTGCTCCATACTTAATAAGTGCTTGTTTGAAGACAATAAAAAACTTATGCAGAAATGGAGAGATAAAGGAAAGGTGTGCATGGCATGTTGCATTCCTTACCAGAAACGTAAACTGGATGAGTCTCAAGGTTAGCACACAATTTTAGTGCTCTTGGTGCTATGGGTTGGATGGTCCTTGAAAACCATATCCGAAGTTTGATGATGTGATTTTTTTGTCGTGCTTTGAATTTTCGAAGCTTGAATCTTAAACATCTCATTCATGACATAATTGACTAGTTGGCATATGAAACAAGCTTGATATCAAACTAGAATGGTCATCAAGAGTAGTAAGTCTGTACTATTTAACATTGATTTTTACCTTAAGTTCAGTGTTAACAGTATGGCTTATACTGCTTCATGTTGTCCACTATGCCCAAGCTTTTTCCTTTTAATTTTTCCTTTCCTCTCTTACTTGCTGACATTCACTTGACCACCACCACCTTCTTCAAAAGGAATATTAGCAAGTTTTAAGGACCACCATGTTGATTCCTTTCTTGTTATATAGCATTGTTTTTTATGTCAATTGGGTATCATGTTCAGTCCAGATTCAACTGTGCTTTCTTAAAATATTAATTAGTATGTCATCAAGGAGGCTTCTCTCTCACACACATGCACATGTGCACACACACAGAGATTGAAGGGAGCAGCTATTTTACACCTAAACTAAAATATGATGTTTCCATGTTCCTTTACATTACCAGCCATTTAATTGGATCATGCTGGTTTAAGCGACCTGAATACAAAGACAACCTGTGATCATTCAATTACCATGGTAGTGCTCACTGAGTCTGGTGTCCTTGTTGATCAACACTTCAGAATGGTTCGGTTCTTCAACCAACCTTGTATTATTTAAACCTTTGTTATGTCAAGCTAATGAACTCAGATACTTATTTGATGCCTTTCACATCCTGTTAGATCAATGCATCATGAGCAAGAACAACTACTAACTCATTAATAATCCTTCTGACTACTGGATTCTTATGCAGTTTTGTAGATACATTGACTCTGTAGATTGTATTATTTTCATTCAATTAGAAGCTTCAAGTACATTAATGTCCCTCTTTCTTAGTTCAGTATCATTATTGGTACATACTATGTCTCCACATACTGAGAATCTTCAGCAAAATGATATTCTTTTCAAAATCCTACTTTGGAAAATACTATATATCAACCACTTAATGAATGCCATGCATCAAACTTCTTTCATTGAGGTGTTTTTTTTCTTGTAAACATGATTCCATTTCGCCACAGCCTTAAGAATGTTAAAGTATGCCATGCGATCATGCTATCCTTGAGATGGAACTGTAAGGAGTACTTCTATTCAGAACATCTTGTCAAACCATGATGAGCATGCATGATTAATATGACATCACCACAATCATGTAAACTCGTCAGGTAAGTTTGTGAAATTAGTGAGAGAAATGTTTTTTACACTACCAAACCAAGGATTTAAATCTTGGTTATACATCAATTTCAGTATATTAAGAAATATATTAATCACATTGCCTGGTATTGTTGGATAAAATAACATAAAACAAAAATGAATCATATGATACCGAGACATTTTGATACTGGTATTTGGTTGGAGCAGCATATATTGATCCATACCAACCTGTATGGTTGACGATTGAGATACGGTGTCAAACATCCACATGTTTATGTGTTTGAATATCTACTTCGGCATTATTCTTCAATTAAGTTTTGTTTCCATTATTATTCCATAAATTATGGCTTAAGAAAATAAAGCATCATCATATAGTTCTTAATGGATTTCCTGGGAGTTTGCCCAAGTGGGTGTAGGAAGCATTTTCTACTTGGTAACTAAATCATGGCCACTTTCAGATTGTTTGGTCATACGTGGGTGGATGGTTTGACCAGCCACAAGTGTATATTGATACATATCATGAGAATCAAAGAGCCCATAATGGAATCTGTTGCACTTGCAAGCATTTAGAACCTATGTCTTTTGTCATGGTTTCAGTGGAAAGAACTAGGCATTCCCTGACCTCCGACACAGGTTCTACATTTATTGTAGGTCATTATTTTCTTTAGTCCACATGGTAAATTTTTTTAATTACCATAATTGACAATGTGGTGTCTAAAAAACTGCACTCAGCTTGGATCATAGTGTGGTAAGATTATATATGGATCAACTTTAAGTTGTTTGACAGGCTAAAAAAAATTTTGTGATGCACGAATATTATGGTGTTAATTGAAGTTTAATCTTCTATACATCATCTAGGTTAGACTTTTATATGTGACATTGTGAATTATGATATAGGTATTGTGATGCATGTTTAGAGGCTGCTTTCATGCTAAGATTCTATTGTGTTCAATTTGCAGTGGAACAACATAATCCCTGTGCCAAACAGTATGTTTGAATGCAAGAGAAGAGATGTAATGATTCTGCATTCCAGTAGTGGGGCCAATATTATTCAAGGTGAATCAGTGGGCACATCTACAATCTTTCTTACACAACAGATGTTTGACAGGTATGCACTGACGCATTAGCTTTATTTTATTCCCGAAGATAATGCTATGATAATTGGGAGCACCACCACCCAAATAAAAGGTGTAAGGCCGAAAGCTCTTGGACTAGAACATTTCCTTGTCACTACTTTAATTGCCCTGTGGCAGCCACACAGTCTCACCATCTTGCATGATCACTCTTGCAATTCCCATATGTGATATTTATCATGCCCTTGTTTGGGAGACATCTGATGTTAGATATCATGCATCCACATCTTCAGTAGAAAATAGTTGAAGGTTGAAAGAAAATTGTGCTGTTCGTACTACCCCTCTCATCTCCTTCTTAAAGGCCTTATCATGTGGAGTGTGGCAGCAAAGTTTGAGGTTACATACATTGATGAAACACACACTTTGAGGAAGACAAAGTGGTTTTGTTGAAACACTTTGTACTCTTTACAAAACAATATTTTGGGCCATTCCTACTTGTAGGTTTTCTGATATAAACCTTTTTCATGAAAAAAGCTTAATTCCTGTTAGTTATAATGGATTTGTGCTGGCTTTGACATTATAATATAATCCATATTGAAGTATTATTTGTGTTTGCAGTAATTAGTGATTTTGAGTAGAATCCATGAAATTTAGTTGGTGGTTCCCAACTAAAAATACCAAGTACTGAAGTAACACATGTTTCCTTATCAACAGCAGACTGTTCAGTAGATTAGTCTATTACTTGCACGAAAACACCTAAGTTCCGAGGCCTTGGTTTCAGTAACTGGTGTGTCAGCTCTCCATCCAAATCTGCCCCGTAATCTGAAGATTACATAGATTTCCATATATGTCATCAGCATAATGTTTTGTTCATATCACCTTCATCGATTGATATCCATTACCTGAAGAACTGTCTGCTGATGAATAATAATCTACCTTGATGGGAGAGTGATTCTTAGAATAAAAACATACATCAGAACAAGCTTTTTATATAGATAACAGAGAACTTCCCACATTTCTGTAGTTGTTACAGTAGATACCATGGATTAACAGAGATCGACTGATCTTTGTCGCAGGGACTAAGGACTCGCATGCACGATTTCACTACAATTTACAGAGAAAGACCATGCTGCGTCAACAATTAGAGAGCAAGAGGTCAGTCATGGGATACAAGTCTTCGTCCTCCATCCTCCACAGCGACGCAGAACAGTCTTCCCATATGGGGGAACTCACCGGAGGGCATTCCATGTTGCAAGCCGATCCGCCCTTGTATTCGTCAAAGCTCAGCTGGCTGACGGATTCCGATGCGGCGATCTCATTCCAGATCTGATCCATGGTGTACCCCTTCCCTTCGTTATCGTTCACTTCAAGCCCTGAGATCAACGAGGTTCCCTCTGCAGTGCTGCAACCTTCATGCTTTTCCGCCCTGAGCTCCGAGATGTTACTAGAGGACGAGGAAGACGGCGAGGGAGCCGAGCTCGTCCGCCGCTCCTGTGCCTTCTTCCTCATGTGCGTCCTCCAGTAGTTCTTGATCTCGTTGTCGGTGCGCCCCGGTAGCCGCCGAGCAATGCGAGACCACCTACAGAGCAGACATATTCGGATCACTGGACTGCAAGCAACAAGCCATGCTCATAAGCATATGAAGACAAGTGAGGAAGACCTATTTCCCCATTTGGCATGGAGTTCAAGCACAAGGTGTTCTTCCTGGGGCGTCATGCGCCCGCGCTTGAGGCCGGGATGAAGGTAGTTGACCCAGCGCAGCCTGCAGCTCTTGCCGGTCCTGTTGAGACCTGCACAGAACGAGGAGGCATGCAGAGGTCAAAGCCAGTGCCTTCCCCCGCCATCCTAAGTGCCTTACAGGCCTACCTATCCCCCGCCACCGCTCAAACCTGACACCTTGGCTAAGAAATCCCAACGACGTTCACCGAACAAGCGCACAAACCATACCAGTTGAAGGTCCTCCTGCTCCGTCCACGGCCCCTTCCGTGTGGCCGCTGCTGCTCCCGTAGGCGGCGCATTCGCCATCACTGCACGGCACACTCTGTTCAACACTCTGTTCAGGTACGTCTCTCTCTCTCTCTCTCTCTCTCTCTAAGGTGTGATTCTCGATAACTCGGAGGGCGTAGGACGCCACCCACGGGGTTTTATAGCCACCGTAGCCATGGGCAGGTGATGTCATGTCGAACTCACAAAATCCAGCACGCAATTTAGCTTCTTTATGACATCCTAGTAACGTCTAGCGATTAATGGGTGTGCTGGAGGAGCTTTGGTTGGCCTCTTGCTAATAATACGAGCAGTGAAAGGGACAAGCGGGAGTCCGATGGCTAGGGCGACTCCATGTCCTCGGAGAGGTCACGCTCTTTGTTGCGTTGCCTTTCTAAAGACAAGTGAAAGTAGCCACTTGGTGATTTACGAAAGGTGGTTTGAGCCCTTAATATATTATTAGTATGTGTTGCTCAGCCACCAAAAGAATAGTGAAAAAGGAAGAGAAGCTTTTAGTGAGTTAGATTCTTCTCTTGCCTCATTGGATGCTACAATTTTTAGTCAAACAAAAGAGTTATGCCAAGAAGTGTAACCAGGAAGAGTGATAGCTTGTGAACTCGGGAATGTCTCAAGTACTTGCTGCTGGAATGTTTCGATACACAAGTACCATATCTGACCTACTTGCCAAATTTGAGAGCACAGTGTCTTAACTAAACAAGATATGGATTTTTTTGGAAAGGTAAGTGGCGGATTCAATTTCATGATCTTTCTATTGGCCCAGTCAAGATATTTTTAGTTGACTGACATTTTAAAATGTATTGGAGGATGATTCAAATACTGGACCTTTAGGCCTAGTGTACCACTATCCTTTTTATTATTATTATTATTATTACAGTATAGTTCTTCAAGTAAGACCAGAATAAGAATTTTTACAAGTATTTTGAGTTTAAATCCAGCATTACTTCATAAGTGACATGCCTTTCCTTACCTATGCAATGATCCACACTCTTTTAATCTTTTAGTCGTCTAGCAGCATTCTATATTTGATCATAATTTGTTTATTTTACACATGAATATTTTTCATAAAAATAATATCAAACATATTATATGATTGCAAAATATAGAAACACCCGTTATGAATCGATTTCTAACATAGGCATCATCTTCATTTGCAACCAAAGTATTCCCCTGCTCATCCCAGGCATTATTTGTTCATGAATCGGCAGTCGGTCCTGCTTAAATCACTGAAGTGTTTGTGATAAGGGAGTTGGTGTCTTATCAGTAACACTGAGGCAAGTCCTGCCGTGATAAAAAAGCCCGTGGGGTTCTGTTTACGTGTAAACATCACCCCCTCCTCTTGATTCAACTCATGCCTCTCCCTTCCTTCTCCTCTTCCTCCTCCTCGCGTGATGTGGCCATTTTTAAAGCAATATCTTGGAGCACTACTGCGTGCATACCAGGTCAAGGAATCAAGCCGAGTGCTGAGGGCTGCGGTGCTGACACGGACCCATTACCCACACACACGGACACGGTGGTACGGGCTGCACCGAGCCTTCTCGATGTCCAAAAGCGGAACGGAGAAGCCATAGAAAAGCGTGCAGTGTGGCTCAGATCCCAAAGCGGATCTTTTCCGTAGTGCGGAGTAGCTCGAGGCCGAGGCATCGTGACGTGGATGCCACCATCCCGTCTTTTTTGCCCCCAACTTGGCCCTTCGTCTCTCGTCTTCCTCCGCCTGCATCCTTTTGGCCGCCTTCAAACCTGCCATTATTCTACTCCCACCAATGCATCACAAATCTCATCTTCTTCCGTGATGTGTTGGGAGGGTGTGTAGCAGTTGGCACCGGATGTGGTCGGTGACGAGATATTATTTGTTATCATTTTTGGTAAGCAGCTGCTTTGTCTTGTTTCCGGGAGTAGTCGACTGCTTGTTCGATGTATTGCCTCGCTGCATACGAGATGGAGGGAGGCATGTGGACAAGTGAGGGAAAGAGACGTGGTATTTGTATTTGGTGGAGGGTCTTCTTCTGACCCCTTTCTGTCCCCTTAAGTCCGAACCCTGCTTTGCTAGCTCCGAAAGGTGTGGCTTTAGGGATGGTGGAGAAGAGGCGTAACGAGTGCAGGAAAGATCAATGCAGTGGCAATTACAAGTTGCGATTCCGTGGTGCCTCCAAGTGTTGTTCCTTGTGATCGTGTACCAACTAAGGAACAGCAGCATTCTTACAGGAAAGTGATAGGTGTGGTGTCCTTCTTTGTCGATAAGACTCGTCGAGCACATACATGCCCATGGGCTCGAGCTGGTCGAGGGATTTGACTAGAAGCACACATAGTGGCATGGCCTGCAGCCTTTTGTTCTTCCACAATTTCTATGGACCCGAAAACCATGATGATTTCAAGATGTGCCGACGCCGCGGGTTGTGCGCGTTGGACCAGTTGGGTGGTCGTCCGCCATGTTTCGTGTCAGGCTCTTCTGTTTCATTTGAGTGTTTTCTCACAATGTTTTTTACTTTAGCTGAGTCACGTTCGATTAGCTTAGTCCGGTCATATGCATCCTCTCTTAGGCTTAGGCTTAGCTTAAATGTTCAAAATCTCGTCTTGACAATTTGTACATCCATTGTCCTTTCATCATAATCCATCTCCCTAATGTCGTATGGCTTACGATCTCCCATTGTTACTATTGATTGCACTTCCATCCATAGACTCGATCAAGACAGCTTAATTAGGCCTCCCAGAGGCAAAAATTGCACAAGGATTTACTTCTTAAAGCCCGTTTCTTGCTCGGCCTACAGCCCACAACCCATAAAAACGCAGCCCTCAGCCGCCATAGCCCGTAGCACATCATAAAGCTATTCTAACTTCATTTTTTTTCTTTTCTTTTAATGGTTAGATTATAATTAGTGGACACTCTCGGTGATACATACACAATCGAATCTCTGCTACGCATTGATAACCTTGAACTCGATCGTCGAAGGTAGTATTAGGGGATGATTCGACTTAGTTGGAGGAGGAAAATCCATGAGGTTGTTGAGGATTTCACAAATGAGGATTTGGGTAGGCAATGAAGTGGTCGTTATCGAGATGCCATCTGGGAACTTGCAAAAGAGGGAATGTAATGATGCATTACACTGCTGTCATCCAGCTATCACCTGGGCGATAACATGGGTGAAAGAACCCAGGAGTACGATCCTCCTGCATCTCGATCTTTGGGAGGGTCGCACGAGACAATCGCATGATACGTTAATCCCCGATAATGAGGTTCATCCCCCCCTTTTAGGGTCATCTATCGTAAACGACCTATCATCTTGATTTCGGGAAGGCTCGCATGTTCGATTGTAGAAAGCATTAATCTCAGGACCCAATTCTCATTTTTTCTCTTTCCGAATGTCTAGCACAAGGGATCATTCCTTGCTTATCCAATACAGGCTCCACCCTTAACAAATAACACTCTCGCAATCGACCTTCCACGCCACCCGCGAAGAGGTGTGTCCACTAGTCATCAACCTTGCTTCATCGACCGCTCAGATATAAAAGTCAGCCCCCAAATCCTAAAAATGAATAGCATTTCTACTATTTTTTACCTCATAACTAATTTTATCATTGAAGGGATTAGGTCGAGAACATCCCTCGACACTGACTGCTTGTACAAGAATCTCGACGAAGCTAAGATGCACCTTAGGATGATGTCAAATCCACCTCTAGCAAACAAGCAACGTGTTGGGATGAACTTGCACATTCGGAACCAAATTAAATCGTGCCTACTCTATGGTCAGCAACATCGAGACAATAACAATTAGCGTTAATTTTCTATTATCGGAGGCAATAACATCTATGTTGAATTATTTCAATTAGTCTCTTTCTTAGCTAACGATGAATTATATAAATTATCATTTAATTATGTGCCAAAACCCAACTTTGTCCTTAAAAGCAATGGACATGAGAATGTCCTGAAAAAGGGTAAGGCTTGCTTGAAGAAATGGATAAAGATCAATCAGTGGAACTTCCGTCTTTTATTTTCTTGTTAGGATGACTAATGTATAATTGATCAAAAATATCCTCATTTTGTCCCCCAAGTCCTTTTCATGTGGTTTCTAATTTTCTACCATATTAAAAGAAATTTATGCTACTGACAAGAAATAATCCTTAGCATACCATTGCCAATGCTAAAAAGTCTTGCTCCCCATAGACCAAAGGATAATTAGCACTTACTCTCTTCTGATCCTAAAAGTGTTTTTGAGGAAAAATAGCTTCAAAGTCAATGGGAGAAAAAAAAACCCTACAAAGAAGAAAGGCTCAAGAAATATCCCCCATGAATTTATTTTTATATCAAACTAATTAAGGAGAAATAAAATAAAACCAAAGAAAATTTGTCTGAAAAGAAAAGAAATGCAAAGTCGAAACATGAATAAAGAAAAAGAATAAAAGGAAGTAATTGAAGGGAAAACTAAGAGGATCTCTCCCACTGCAAACCAGTAAACCTATATGAACCCTAAGAAACCAACAAATTTAGAGCCAAATTAAAATCCAACACCATATGTAATGTAATGAAGAAATCAAAGCAAGAAAAAGAAATGAATGAGGCGATGAGGATATGAACAATGCTTCTCCTGAAAGGAATTCATCCAAAATAGATATATAGTCATCAAATCATCATCATGCACTATGCGATGAATAACTGGAGGAATCTCGCGTTGCAGATCCTTCTGCCGTGTATCGGAATCCAAGACTTTGGAGCTGCAATTCGTTCTCCAGCGGCGGCAAGTTCAAGTCCAGCCACCGAAGCTCCCTCGCACCACCTTCCCTCGCGGCATGCGCGTCCGGCGCCGCCGTCTTATGCCGCCGCATGTGGCCGCCGAGAGCCTGGCCCATCGGAAACACCAAGCCGCACACGGGGCAGGAGTGAAGCTTCGGCCTCATCTTCTGCACCGGGTTGCACCCGTCTCCACGCCCCCTCGGCCTTGTGTGGCTCGTCCGGTGGCCTCCGAGCGCCTGGAACGTCGGAAACCGGCGGCTGCAGGTCTTGCACTCGAACTGGCGGACCCCGCCGGCGCCACTGGGCCTGCTCGCGCCGCCGACCTCGCCCCGCTGCTTCTCTTCGCATGAGAGCATCAGTAGCAGACTATCCATCTCCGTGCTCCCCGTCTCCTGCTCTCTTCCTCCTCCGGCAGTGACGGAGGCTTCGCGAGGACGAATAACCGAGGAAGTATCCGCTTCTTGCATGGAGTTTGGGACACGGGATGAGGAACAAGTGCATGGAGGTGCATGTTTTATAGAGGCATGACATGAGGAGCTGTTCGTGTCACGTTCGCGGACTAAGACGGGGAATTTGGGGAAGCAATCACGCAAACACGACTTGCAGTACACGACCGCGTTGTCCTCACATCAGCAACAGTGGCTGCTAGTGCTCAGTTTGCGTGTTGTTGTCGGCCCCCCTTCTCAGGCAAGCTTTGGTCATCGGGAATACCGATACAGCATTAACATGAGAAGCTCAATGATGTGATTAGATTCCCCGAGTTGCTCCGAGTGGCCTACTCAAGGTGTGTCTCGCACGCAAGGGCCTTCATTATTGTCGAGGACAGTTTCGTTGCAAGCCCGCCTTTCTCTGCTTCAATCAGTGCAAAGCCTAGCATTAAGGCACCACAAAAACGTTATGTGGTGTCAAGGTAATGAAATACCTCAGGTTGACTTGACTCTGCCCTTTTGGGCTTATGACCGCAGGAGTCCTTGCTTTCTCTTCTCTCTCTCTCTCGGTTCTACGTAAAAGAAGGTTCTCAAAGCGTCAAATGGGTCAAGAAGTCAACTTGGACTAGCGAGATATGAGCTGTGATTTGCTTGGCCCGAGAGGAAACACACGGTTTACTGCTGATTGCCAGGAATTTGGGACAGTTGGTGCCAAAGACTTGTTGTCACTTGAACGCCTCTCACTACGCGTGGAGTGGACCTGGGAGTTGACCTGTGCTGTCACATTGACGTGTGGGCGGCATTACGTGGACAATCCTCGGAGAAGCGACGGTGAAGATATCTTGGAGATATCCGAGCGATGAATCAGCAGCAGCTGGTAATGGATTTTGATGGGTGTTGATTTGACGATGGTCTCCCTGATGGCGATCGCTAAGTGGGGAGGCACGCATTTGGATGCATATGTCGACCTCCAATTGGAACAGCGTACGCTTCACTGTCTCCCTCCCTCCCTCCCTCCATTTGGCAATCGTTGGGCAAGCCTTTCCTCCAAAGCTAAAATGCCATGTCCTATTACACATTACTTTCCTTGAATCTACCGATTTTGTCGAACCACACCATTTATTATTTGACATCATCAATTGTTTCTAAGTTAAATAAATCTTTATTGGTTTTTATTTATTTTTTTTATGTTTTATAAGTTGTCACGTAGCGACATCTACCGTATTTTTAATCTATCAAGAATAGAAAGAAAAGAGGGGAAGAATCCAACACTATCAAGTACATAAAAGAAGATATGTTAAGAAGACGAATCTGAAAACTTAACTTCTCCAAATAAGTTAAGATATAATTTATTATTCTTATTATTTTTATTTATTATTATTATTATTATTATTATTTCTTCTTCTTGTACTTGGGTTCTATAAATAGGGGTCAACGAGAGATCATGTAATTGACTTCATTTCCACATACTATGTGTGAGTGGTGCAGAGATTCCATCATCCACAGAATAGACGTGTGGAGGTGCAAAAGATGCAATTTGAGAGTTTCCTTCTTTAGTGAGAATGAGTCTGATAATTATCCAATTATTTTTCTTATTATCTTCTTTTATCTCTTTCCGTCCTCAATTATCATTAATAAAAATAAAAATTCTATGTGTTCATCCAATATTAGGTTTTGAGAACTTTTGGTTGGAACAAAAAAAATTGTATCATTGCTGTTAATTCATATTTCAATTTATATAAATTCAGGATGAATTCCTCATGAACAAGCAAACAAACAAAAAAAAGAGACTGCGGATTGCACCTTTAATCTCTCTTCTCGGAGGACGAAGTCTCACATATGTTTCCAATTCTTCATGCATGATGAATAGCTTGGTATCATAATATATATTCACTTCTTTTTACCATGTATTTATTATCTTACATGGCAAGTGGAACCTTTGTTACTCCATTGCTGGATGATATTGGTGATGGGTGAAGACCAGTGGTCTTTCTTTTCCCCCACTAAGGTTCACACCAATCTTGATGTACAATATTGCTAGATCAAAGGAATTGGATACGTGGAGCATTGTTTTTTGGGCGAAAGGCAGTCTCCACTTACCAAAAATATGACCATGACTCCACCAATTTTACTAGATGCTTTGAGGAAGCTTTCTTCAAATATTGATATGGTATGGAGAGAGAGAGAGAGAGAGAGAATCACATTTGTATTGCATGATCAAATAAAATCACATATTAGCAATATAAGCCCTCAAGAAGTATTGAATTAATCCAATACTTTAATTCTATTATCTTGCAAACAGTGCTTGTGGTACTGATTCGAATTCAACGAAGTACTCCAGCGGTCGTCACCAGTGGTTGCCTCCCGACGGGCGCTCAGTTTCCTCAGAAGCTTCTTCCGGTCGTTGTTGCTTTCCAAGTTGTACATCCTCGGGGTCAGTTCATGCTGCACCCGTTCTCATGTATTTTGCTGACTCAGGGGTTCTTCTAGATAAGCTTTGGCCTGTTGGAAGTCAACAAGTGACAACATTCCGGTGTCATATGCTCTCAGGACTTTGAAGCATTACTCCATTCTTCTACCTCGGTGATGCCTTCTGGTGTCTATGGTTTCAGATGTTTTGGCCAATGGCAGGTGTTCCCTTCCTCGGAAATCTTAGTCAAACCCACCTACGCTCTCTCTTCGTAACCTTTATAGTTATTGTTTAAGCAGCCGAGCTTCGCTGACTGCCACTTCAGTGGCAGGCGGTAACGTCGGCGATGACGCATCATGAGCAAAGCCATCACAGCACGGAAATTGATGATCTAAAATAATTATTCTTTCGGTTTCTGGATCAACCAATTGGTCATTTTCAATCAACTCTACCAGCTTATTCGGATCTGCGAATCTTTATGTTCAGATATATACACTGCGGCAGTGAATTCATGTGATGGTGTGGACGTGAAAGAAATGGCTCTGGTAGAGCACAATAAGCTGATTGAGTAGCCTGGAACACATGGAAAGATGCGTCATTTGTGGTTGGAGATGGGGAAGAGAAGAAGAGCGGAGGAAGGTGGTGAGTTTTGGAGCTCCGTAGTGGTTAGGTCGAAGACTTGGAAGAAGAATCGGAAGGCTGGTGTCGGGTATACTACATTGACACATCACCTGTACCGGATTTGCTCAGCTACCACGCCATGGATTCAACACACGTTTCCTGCGCAGCTCAGCAAATCCGTGCTTCTATCTCGTTGGGTTCTCTCGTTTCCGTGAGTCGCAAATCCAGTGCAGTAAAACCTCATATATCTATCTAACACACTTTTGCTGACTCTTCCTCTCTCCCTTTTCAAACTGCATAAGATCGAGACCACTTCACATTTCTAGAAGATAGGACGACCAAGTCACCTCTCTCGTCGTCGTGTTTGCTTCCATCACCACGATCTCATCCTTACCTCTCACCTACGGAACATTGTAGCCGAATTGACTTCCTCCCACAATTTATTGCCATCACGAAAACGAACACTTCTTTGCCGCTACAAAAAGTCACGACTGGCGAGTCCTGAGAGCCTAAAAAGCCATTTCCTGCCTCCCATCCGCCAGTGTGTTCGGAGCTCTTACCGACGTTTCGTCCAGCATGAAGAGAACTAGGGTCGCAGGGGAAGGAGAAGTGGGGAGCGTCCACACCATGGCTCATGCACTGATGCAGCTGTCCCATGGCAGCGCCGACGACGCCGACGTGTCGTCGGTGTCGCCACCGGCACGTGTTTTCGAGTGCAAGACGTGCAACCGGCAGTTCCCGTCGTTCCAGGCGCTCGGTGGCCACCGGGCGAGCCACAAGAAGCTGAAGCTCGCCGGGGACGGCCGCGGCGACGGCGAGGGGGCGAAGCCGAGGGTGCATGAGTGCTCCATTTGCGGGCTCGAGTTCGCCATTGGCCAGGCCTTGGGAGGTCACATGCGGCGGCACCGGGCGACCACCGCGGCCTGCGGGCAGGGGCTGCCGGAGACGAAGAGTACTGAGGGGAAGAGGGTGCTAAAGATCTTTGGATTTGAGCTTGTATATACAAACCCAGTGGCGGTGGATTGCTTGTATTGATCGATCTATATTGACCTCCTCATATACCTAATGTAATACTTTTCATTTTCTTACATGTTTTCTTTTTCCATTTGTTCATTGTGTACTTATTGCATGAAAATACTAAGAATTATACCGATAAATTATGAGATTATACATATTTGATGACAATAATTTGTCGTACGAGAATATCTCGATGTAAAAAAGACTAATCTATATATGGCTCGAGACTCCTTATCTATGTTAACGTAAAAACAAAAAAAAAAATCATACGAGTATTTAAAGTGTTTTTTCTCTGTTTCTCATTCTTAATTTTAAGATAGATATGGTATTTATAAAATAAATAAATTATAATTCACAAAAAGATCTTTTTTCATACTTGAATTCTCGACTTTAAAGATACTTATCGATCCTAACATAATTGGAGTGTTAAATTTTAAACAAAAAAAAATAGAAAATAGGAAATTATAATTCAACTGTGGAAAGGTACTCCTCTTCCTGCTTTTGTCCTGTTTTACTTTTTGACATTTTCTTCTGCCCCTTTCGAGAAGCTAATGGTGCAATTTCCAGACCTCATTGTGTCACAGCTATTATGAGATTGACAGATGCATCTTTTTTTCCTGACAAAAGTTTCAAGTGACTTTGTTGGTTTGATTTTGTTGTATTCACTCTAATAGTTCATTAGCTTCAACCATACAACCCCTTTCTCTGTCTCATCTTTGGTGAGCATTTTATATCTGAATTAGGAAAATTTTCATGAAATTTGCTGTTACTACAAAAATAGGTAAGTTTCATAAAATTATGCAAAACAAAATCTTTTATCATACTTTTTTTGAAAAAATAAGAAGCAACTATACTTGTCCTTTAAAAAGGGTCCCTATTTTATTGGCAGTATAGGTGGCTTATAATGTTGGGGAAGTATAGTGCACAACACAATCATTCTAGAATCCTACAATTAAACAGAGACTTGTGGACATCTCATACACGATCTCTGTGATAGTTAGAACAGGTTTGTGGCTTTAAAAGCATAAGCTGACATATTGGCATACAGGTAAGTTGTGGCCTAAAAGGCTGATGCTCACAATGCAAGCAACATACATGAAGTTTGTTAAAAATTAAACAAAGAAAATAGAAAGATGAAAATTATAGAAGAAACTATAAAATGCATAAGATGTAATTATCTAGTTCATTTTGATAATGAGCTCTTGATAGCTATTTATACACACTCAGCAGGGAGGTTATACACATTTAGTACGAAGGATTTTTCTCAACTGCTTAGATATTTCCTCAACCGTAAGTCCACAAATTCCACATACATTATTATTCCTCATTCAAAACCTTTATTGGCAGTCTATGGGGTTGTGATTGGTTTTTGTTTTACTTTCTAAAGGAAGAGCTATGTATTACCTTATTAATTGACATGGCAAATGGCCTGATACGTGGAGTTCAGTTTATCCTAAAATGATAAAACAATCTATTATGATTTGCCACATTAGTATTAGTAGAAATATTCTTTGAATAAAAATAACTCAGTGAATATTTCTTAATTACAAGCTATAGGGACTTGTAATTAATTCATGTGTCTTGTAGTTTTGATTGATTCATGGTTGTTGACTTGTAGCAACATTGACGCTTCAAAGCTTGACTAAGCTTTGTAACCCTTATCATTCTTTTCAGTATACATCACCACCCCCTCTTTCTTTAATGGCTCTCAGCAAATTGCCGGACTACCATTGCCATGCACACCTCCCTTTGTTAATATAGACTATTAGGAACTAACTGCACACGTCCGATAATGATCGTTTACCTTAAATAATTCTTTTTATATGTGATTGCACGATGAAAATTCGAGTCACATAAAATTAGTATTTTTGAATTAATGATCCCCAAAACATGGCTTATATATATATATATTTATTTATCCAATATTAAATAAAGATTATAAAATAAATATTCTTTCATGAAATCCCAATATATATTGCATATATGAACACACCGTCACGTGCCCGATGCGTGCGATCTTCGTTCTCTCACGGCCTCCGCAGGCCGGGAATGGTGGGCCTCCCAATAACTCGTGCGGGTCCAGACGGGACCCGCCGGTTGAAGACAGTCACATGGGCTGCCGCGGCGAACCCACCCCTTCGTCCACGGGGAACAGAATACGGTTCCTTCTCCTGCTTAAGGGGACGCGTCGCTCCCACGCGATCCGCTAATCACGGTGATCGGGGCAATATGAACCATCGGATGTCACGCACAAGCCCAAAGGTGGACGCGTCACGGTGGTTAATCGTGTGCCGTGACGTGCCGGGTAATTGCACCATAGCACATCGATGAACGGTAGAGGCGTGTCGAGATCTCGGTGGGTCCCGGAGGCACTGTCCGAGGTGCGGTGGCATCGCCAAAGGTGCCGATTCCGATACCGTGGGATCTGTTTTAGACGTCCTATTTAGTGGGGCACAGCGGGAAGGCAGACACCATCTCCCGTTCTCTCTTCTTCCGGTCCTCTGTACCGATTCATATTTACTACGATTCTTCTCGTTTTCTCTTCCTGTCTCCGGTTCCGAGAGCGGCTCCAACTCCTCTGTCTGCGTTGCGATCTACCGATTCCGGTAAACCTCTGTTCGGAACACGTCGGATCTCTCTTTCTGCGTTTTGCTTACTGTTCGAACTCCAATTACATGTAACCTTGTTGTTGGGATCGGATCATTTGAGTCTCTTTGGGATTCTTTGTTTTAAGTTAAATGATGCTTCTTGCGCCGGATCGGAGCCACAGTTATGTGCCTCGATCGAGGATTGTATGCTTCCGTCTCTGTCTGTTTAGTTCTGAGCCGAATCGGATCTTGTTCTGCTATATATCAAGGATTTTACCTGCGCTAGTTGCTTGTGAATCCAGATATAGAAGTTTCAACTTTCATGTACTTATTTTGCTGGATCTTGTATTGGAGTTCAAGAAATATGTCTGATCTTGCTTTCACCATTTTCTTTCAAATGTCTCTCCTGATTAGGGTTCCAGATACACTAGTTCTATCTTCCTCGTAGTAGATCTGCAGGGATGACTCTGGTTTTCTAGAATATAACCGAACTTTCTTTTTCATCTAGACTATAGTATTATTATATATTGCTTTGTTGCAGAAAAGAGTTGGTGCATCAAATGCAGAAGTCACCATAAGTCCAAGTCAGTTGTGCTGTGTTTGTCCCGCATTTGTCCCACATATGCACAAAGTAAAGTTGGATGAAGTTTGGCTGTTTTATTTCTTCGGATCTCAGTGACTGGCTTTAAGATCTTAGAGATGTGATAGCGTTGCTGTTTCCTGATCTAATACTGTCCTTGAAGGTCATTGATCTGCCCAATCAGTTCTGATAGAGCCCTATCTACCAAATCATATCAATGAAAATAAACCTAATAATTTTCGTTAATTTTTTTATGTTGACAACAATGGCATTTTGCATAGGCTTCGAAGATTTTGAACCCCCATCGTGTGTTCTGAACATATCATATATCTGCCCTTTGCATATGGATGAGTGATGCCTGCAGGCTACTCATGCCTTTGGGCCTAATTTAATGCGGATGGGGGCAATGACAGTCACAATAATAGTGATAGTTATTTTATTTTCTTTGTAATAATAATTCTCATTGATGGCTTTTAATGTTCGTAATGCCACAATCACTGTCCCATTTTTCAATAATGTGCACGATGTGCAGCCTGAATACAAATCCTTGGACATGAACAGTTAGGCAAAAGAAGTGCAGATTACGTGCTGATTAATTAGCTTGTTGATTGACAACTATTATATTCTATATTTGTTGACTGTGTATGATACATTATGGATGTAGTTTAAAAATGAGCCATGGTTAATCTAGGGCAGCAGAAATCTGAAAGAACGTTTCTGTTTGGAAGTTTTTGTCTGAATACTTTTTCTGTTTTTTTCTTTTTTTGCATTTTACTCATGACCAGCAACTTCTATATTCTTCAATGTTCCAACAAGTATACATTTAAGATAAGACGATGAATTGTTTACAATGAAAATTCATTGTACGTTTATCAGATTCTCATTATGGCTCCACCTCCTGAAGTACCAACCAAGGCTTCTGGCCTGCAAATTTCTCATCCACCACTCAATGAGAGAATACTTTCATCCATGTCTAGAAGGTCTGTTGCAGCACATCCTTGGCATGATCTTGAAATAGGTACTCAATCTCATAAAAAAAATTTCATGTGGTCATCTATTCATCTCTTTCTATGTTAATTCCTTTCTTCATTGGACTTTGGATTTTGCTTGCAGGCCCTGGTGCGCCTACAATATTCAACTGTGTGAGTACACTATACCTTTCAATATTGAGTTGTCCTATCACAGGGTTTGATGCTAATAAAAGGACTTCATTGTGGTGCTAGAACATAAAATTTGGCAACTTTGCTTGTTTTGGCATGAAAGTAATTGTGTGTAACCTAGCTAAAATATTCAACTGATAGTGTCTTTAACAATTAATATCTTAATTCAATAATTCATTTTATAGGATCTTTCGGACTTACATTTATGTGGATGAAAAGGATACTATATATTTGTACTTGAAACAGGATGCCGTACCTAATATTATAAACAACAAGTTTAATTCCTGCAGGTGGTGGAAATAGGAAAGGGAAGCAAAGTGAAATATGAACTTGACAAGAAAACTGGGTTGATAAAGGTATGCATGGTACTTTACCCTGTTGCTTCCTTTCTGCTTTCTGTTGTAAACTTCATATTTGTTTTCTGTACACAGGTAGACCGAGTGCTTTACTCATCTGTGGTGTATCCTCATAACTATGGTTTCATCCCACGCACTCTTTGTGAAGATAATGATCCTTTGGATGTATTGGTTATCATGCAGGTTTGTAACACTTAGCTCTCATGGTCGTAATACTCATTTACATTTGTGTATAAAAGGAAATAGTTTCCCAACAAATGCCATCACATAAGTCTATCAGAAATTTTTCATAATTTTTAAGTCTAAAATTTTAAGTTATTTCCCTTATATTTTTTCCTTTAACATTTGTAGTTGTTAGTTACTTAATGGAATCTATTAGAATAGTAATTGCTGATGCTGAATCAACAGGAACCAGTACTCCCAGGATGCTTTCTTCGAGCTAAAGCCATTGGTCTAATGCCTATGATCGATCAGGTCTTGTTTATGCATTACTATGTTGGACCATTTGATTTCATAATTCAAGGCATTTGATTGCTTGACATTGATATAAAAGGTGCTGATGCAATTCATCATATCATAAACAGGGGGAGAAAGATGACAAGATAATTGCCGTCTGTGCTGATGATCCTGAATACAAGCATTACAATGATATCAAAGAGCTCCCACCTCATCGTTTAGCTGAGATCAGGCGTTTCTTTGAAGACTGTATCCTTGTATATTTGTGAACATTTTTAAAAGGTTATCCACAAAACAAAGTAATATGGTCAATTAAATTTCCAGACTTAGGTCCGCCCTACAATCTACATCTATAGATGCTTGTCATGTATAATTCATTGATCACTCTCATTTTTAAGAAAAGGATAGACTAGTGTGTAAGACTCTGGCCAATGTTGAATATAGATAAAATTAATATTTGATTTCTTACATTTACCATAGTGTTTTCATGACTCGAATCTAGATCATTAGTAGGTAGGTATTTTGTGTTACAATTTACTTGTATTTTTCACTTATGCTTCTAGAGCACATGCTTGTAAGATATATTTTCACCCACTCATTGTCTTATGTGCTCTCATCTCCTTCGGTTTTGGTGTATCTTATGCAAAGCAGGAGACAGGTATTGATCTTATAGAGAAACTACTGATGTTTTAGCTCATGTAAAGTTCAACTTTGTCCTCTATATCTGAAACTCTTCCCAGAAGTATAAATCCACAAGTATTAGACTCATCAAATTTGATTCTCCTTGACCATAGAAAATCAGATAAGAAAAATGAAAACAAGGACGTTGCTGTAAATGACTTCCTGCCTGCATCTTCAGCTTACAAAGCAATACAGCATTCCATGTAAGTATTATCATGTTTGTCATTTTTTTATATCTTTGGCTTGCTGCCTACGTATCCTCAATTATATTACAGGACTGGTATATCTTTACAATAAAATACTTACCTAAAACTTGATGTTGCTTTTTTCAAAATACATAAGAAATTAATCCATTTAGTTAGAGTCATTCCTGCCTAATGCTTGGGGAGACATGTGATCGGGGATCAAAATTCGGACCATTTTCACAATATGATCCCTAAGCACAACTGTTTATGACAAAGCATATAACATTGCCCTACATGTGATAACAACTTCAAATTGGACCGCAGTATTATCTTTTTTCTTGTTATGCCCTAATCAAATTTGCGGAATGTTATTCTTGGTCTTTAGGTTTTAGAACATTCAGACTGGAACAACTTGGACGGTCTTCATTTCTGATTGCATTCCTGTACTTGGGATGTAAATCATATTCTTTTATTATAAAAGAGATTTGTAGTATTTGCTATTTTTCACATAATCTATATCCCCTTTTGATATTTGAACTTACTTTCAGGGACCTTTATGCTACTTACATTGTTGAAAGCTTGAGGAGGTAGGAGGCATTTGGAGGGGCGATTATATATATATATATATATATATATATATATATATATATATATATATCTAGGAGGACCATTCAAACAGTTCTTTGTTGATGCTTGTTACATGACACTTTGCCAATGAGGGTATATCAAAGTGGACACTGTTACAACGAAAGTGCTAGTTGTTTAATGTAATTGCAAGCCTGGTTACTTTATTAATCGCATAGGAAGTTGCTTGCTTATTCATGTGATTGTATAGACTAGACTGGAAGTTGCTTGTTCATGTGATTGTAAACACTTGGTGTCTATTTTTCTCCTATTATCAAAAGCCAAACAGTGTACTGCATCTCTGGTGATCTTTGCAAAATATGATAACCTGTTTGTTTTGGAAAATGCTGGACTGGTTACCTCCATTATTTGAGTCATAGGAAGATCGACTAGTTACATTACTTTTGACATTAATGCTAAAATAGATTATAAATCCTTGTTAATGCTCTTGACATCATTCGGGATTGTTAAACCGAGCAGGCAAATTCTACTGTATGAGATGTGTCTTATGCATATCTGCCATCCCAAAGCCATAGTGGTTTCTGTATGAGATGTCTTGTGAAATCGCAGAGTGCGAGTAAAGATGTTAGAGCTAGTCTCTTTGTTTGGTTGTCAGCCACATTTAATTTTGACCCGAATTGGACGTGAAAGCTTCGGAGCTGGATTAGGCTTCGTAGTTATTTTAATTGTTCTAGTCAACATTGTTGTAGTTATTTTAGTTGCTAGAACAACAAAACACACTTCATCCTTTCAACTTACTTAATGAGCGAGATTGCACCTTTACATTACGGCGGCAACGTGGAGCCATCGCGTCGAACGGACGCGGGAACGCGAAGGTTCGAACTTAGCGGTGTTACAATAAAGCGCCAGAGCCCCTATTTAAGGGGAGGAAGCGGGAAGCCAAAATCCATCTCGTCGTTTTCTCTCTTCTGCCGGCCCGACTCCATTTCTAGGGCTTGGTTCTCGTTTTCTCTTCCCTTGCTCTGATCTCCGGCTTCGAGGAGATCCGGAGCGGTTCCAGCTCCTGTTCCGATCTACTGATTCCGGTAAACCTCTCTTTGGAACACCTCAGATCTGTCTTTTTGCGGTTTTATTACTGTTTGAATTTCGATTACATGAAACCTTGTTTGTTGGGTTGGGTGTCTTTGAGGGTTCTTTGTTCGAAGTTTGATGATGCGTTTCGGGCCAGATCGGAGCCAGAGACATGGGCCTCGATCGAGGATTGTATGCTTCCGTCTCTGTCTGTTTAGTTCTGAGCCGAATCGGATCTTGTTCTGCTATATATCAAGGATTTTACCTGCGCTAGTTGCTTGTGAATCCAGATATAGAAGTTTCAACTTTCATGTACTTATTTTGCTGGATCTAGTCTTGGAGTTCAAGAAATATGTCTGATCTTGCTTCCACCATTTTCTTTCAAATGTCTCTCCTGATTAGGGTTCCAGATACACTAGTTCTATCTTCCTCGTAGTAGATCTGCAGGGATGACTCTGATTTTCTAGAATATAACCGAACTTTCTTTTTCATCTAGACTATAGTATTATTATATATTGCTTTGTTGCATAAAAGAGTTGGTGCATCAAATGCAGAAGTCACCATAAGTCCAAGTCAGTTGTGCTGTGTTTGTCCCGCGTTTGTTCCACATGTTCACAAAGTAAATTTGGATGAAATTTTGCTGATTTATTTCTTAGGATCTCATGACTGGCTTTAAGATCTTAGAGATGTGATAGCGTTGCTGTTTCCTGATATAATATTGTCCTTGAAAGTCACTAATCTGCCCAATCTGTTCTGATAGAGCCCTATCTACCAAATCATATCAATGAAAATAAACCTAATAATTTTCGTTAATTTTTTTTTTATGCTGATAACAATGGCATTTTGCATAGGCTTTGCAGATTTTGAACCCACATCGTGTGTTCTGAACACATCATATATCTGCCCTTTGCATATGGATGAGTGATGCCGGTCGGCTACTTATACCTTTGGGCCTAATTTAATGCGGATGGTATGGGGGCAATGACAGTCACAATAATAGTAATGGTTACTTTATTTTCTGTGTAATAATAATTCTTATTGATGGCTTTCAATGATGTGCATGACATGCAGCCTGAAAACAAATCCTCAGACATTAATAGCTGGGCAGAAGAGGCTCAAATTCTATGTTGATTAATTAGCTTGTTGATTGACAAACTATTGTCTTCTGTGATACATTATGGATATAGTTTGACGATGAGCCATGGTTAAGCTAGGGTGGCAAAAGTCTCAAAGTATATTTCTTTTGCATGTTTTTGTTTTAATACATTTTTTTTTTTGCATTTCACTCATGGTTAGTAAATTCTACATTCTTCGATGTTCCAAAAACTATATATTTAGGATGAGATGATGAACATTGTTTTTGTTGAAAATTCATTGTATGTTTATCATATTCTCATTATGGCTTCACCTCCTGAAGTACCAGCAAAGGATTCTGATATGCAAATTTTTGATTCACCCCGCTCAAAGAAAGAATACTTTCATCCATGCCTACAAGGTCTGTTACAACACATCCTTGGTGTTACGGTAAGTAACTTTTTAAGCCGTGGCCTTGGGGCCGTCGCGGCTTGGTTCGTGGGTCCGGATATCGAGGATCTCGGGCGGCGTCCCTCGGGGTCTCCCGGCGGCCGAGCACGGTGGTTCGGGTTGGGAGGTCGGTTCGGCAGGTCGGGTCGGCGGTTCGGGTCGGGAGGCAGCTCTACCGCAGCTTCGGGAAGAGGCGACATCGTCTCGCACCTGCACACAGGTCGGGCCGGGAGCTCGGCCTGACCCCTTCGACGATCAAGTTAGAGGAAGATGTTGAGGGGGTTGTGGATGAGGCAGAAGAAGAGCCTCTGAGTGTTTTGTGTCTGAGTGAGTTCCTCTCCCCTTTTTGCTTAGGACTCAGGGGTATTTATAGAGGAGGTTTGATGTTACCTGACGTAGCTGTTTGCAGGGTAGGACTGTACCTTTGGTGGCGTCTGACATTGCCCCTGGGGCTGCGTGGGAGGCCGAGCTGCTGCAGGGTATGACGAGCCTCGGGCAGTGTGTCGCTCAGGGGGTTGCTGTCATGGCGTGTCACATCGCC